GTTTTTAACAAAAGCCTCCAGGAGAAATTCCAATGGGCATCAGATGTTGATGCAGATTGGGTGAGTATTTTTTTTTTTAATTAATTTTATTAAATAATAACATACTTAAATTTATTTTTATTATTTTATAGAAATTTTAGGAATTTTATACATTACAAAAATTTTTTTTTTTTAAATAAACTTATATTTCAGTATTATGTGTGAATAATTTTATATACACCAGATATTTGCTAAGAATGAATCAGTGAGTGCTTTGAGAATAGAGGCCTGCACGGGTCATCATAATTGAATGATTACCCGACTTGTAGATAAAAATTATAAAAATCTCAACCTGAACCCGACTTATACAAAAAATTATAAAAATCTCAACCCAACTGACTTGTACACAAAAAATTTTAATTAACAACATTGTAACACAATTATATCATCACCTGGGTAGCACCAAGGCCATGCCAGATCACAATTTTCCTTATGAATAATAAATCTGATGTTGATCACAGGTATCAGATTTAATTAAAATCCCTGTCACAAACGGGTGCTTCACACCATCTCATCCCTATGGAATTTTTTCCACAGGTGAGACACTTACAAGTTGGAAGGCTTTGGACAAAACATTCCCTTATCTTTCTCTCAGACCATGCTTGGCATTGATCACTGATAGCTGGTACTTGTGTGATGATTGCTTTGTGTTATCCCGATCTATAGAACAAAGTTGGTGTCTGCAACTGATTCAAAATACTCCAACTCGGGAGGTTGCAACCTGGGTGGTTGTATTGGATTTTAAATACAATTTCAGTTGGTCAAACAAAAATTAAACAGAAAATTTGTTAAAATGATTAATTTTTACATAACATATCAAACAAAATTTATTTTACAGCTTTCTCCTTGATGCCAATGATCATGATGACCATCACAATAGGAGTGGGCAGAGTTGAACTGCCATCTTTATACTTGTAAGAACATGCTCTGATTGAGTTACACTCTTTTATTAACCTAGGTTGAGTTGTATGGGCAAAGAGCCCATTTAAAAAAATAATATCAAGTTCAATTGGTCAAATAAAAATTGAAGAAACAGAAAATTTGGGAAAGTAACTAATATATATATATAACATACCAAAAAAAAATTTGAACCATTTTATTTAAAGCCTTCCTCCTAACAACAGAGACTAAATGCAATTTCAGGGCCACCAACCCAGCTCTGAATTGCAATCTCATGTGCTTGGAACAAGTTGCTGATTCTTGTTGTATTGATGGATCTGGATGTTTATGCACACCCAATATCACAACTCTTCAAAACACGACTTGGTTGCATAGCCATCCTTACCCTAGAGGTAGGATTGATGCAGGTGACTTTTTTGCCAGCATGTCAGCAGCCTTCTCTGGTCTGGTGCTGTGAAAGAAGATTAGTGAAAGCATCCTTGGCAGTCTCAGTAAACTCCAGGGCCATGCTACCCCAGAATTCTATTGCATTGTTGTATCATCGGTAGGGTGCAAGTCAGATTTAGCCTTATGTACATGAGCATCTGCTAATTTTCAATAATCAAACATTGCATACTTGAATTGTTTCATATTGAATTGTTTCTTCTGCAACAATCAGTCATACTGCCTTGACATCTTGTAATTAATTATAATAATAATAGCATTAATAACAATTACAAAAAGCAAAGTACCAATCATTTGTTTACTAATCGGTGGGAATCTTATAATTATCCAGAAAGATCTGCTCCGCATTTCAATTCCAATTAAAATATTTATAAACTAAAAGACATATCAATGCAAGTAAAAAATAGCACCACTGGTTAGTTATTAGCACTTCTTCTTTAGGAGAACCATGTTTTGTCTGTCAAAAAATAAGATTGTTTTTCCAAGAAAAAAAAACCAATTTGCATAGTGGGAGTTTGTCATTGCACAAAATTTTATACAGAACCCATTGCTCCTAAAACTTCACCAGTATATAGTTGTTGCCTCTCTAAATTGGAGGTCAAGTTCAGATCCAATTCAAATCCAGTTCATCACTTACTTTTTATTGCCAGAATGTTTGCTAGTATTGTAAAGTTACATTGCACAATATAAAAAATAGTGTAACCTTTCAAATTTCCACTATGCTGTCAAAAAAAATCTTGTGCAACACCAAGTGCCAATAATAATATTATTAATATTATTTGGCTTAACATGTTTTAAAAATTTTTTTTTCAAATTAAAAAATGTCTTCAAAGTATCAAAAGTGAAAAGAAAATCAAGGAGTGGCTGAGGATCAAGGGTAAGTGTTTATCATAAGAATGGCGGTGGTGGTTGCAATGCATTGCAACTCATCATCACTCTAGTTGGTTATCATAAGGATGGTAATGCGTTGCAACTCATCATTCTAAATTCCAACTTAAAAAAAAATTTTTCTTCAATAGAAATAGAAGGACAACCATAAGCAAATCACACACTCTTTAGTATATGGTATCTTATTGTTTTCTTAAAAATGAATTTTGATTTTTAATTTATTTCTTTTTTTTATAAAGAATATTTTCGAAGCGTTCAAATTATCCGTATGCAGTGAATTCAATTTAAATTTGAGAAACATTGATCATGAAATAAGAGAGAAGGCGATTAATTTATTAAAAATTTTATCGAGGAAATAAAGGATAACAATAATGAAGTAAATTATAAATTTTTTTTTGTTTATCAATTTATTCATATTTTATGTGTATGTATATGTATATTGTATTCATATATGTATACATAATTTAAATAGAATGATTCATTTTATAAATAAATATATTTATTTATAAATACTACTTTCATATATTTATTTCTTTCATATTACAGATAAATACCTCATCTTCACATTCACCATCACCATCACATTCACCATCACCATCTCCTCCACTTCCACCCTCATCATAACCACTGTAACAACTGACAACTCCCTTCCAGCAACTCATCATAAATATAATCTGCAAAAAAAAAGTCCATAAACTATGATATTGATCCATTACCAAAAAAATGTCACAAAAATAATGCAAGTATAATTGAAACATTAATACTAATAATGGTAGACATTTAATTTTTTTACTTATATTTATAGGAATCATCACCATCATTACCTGAAGAACATGAGGTATAAATAGTATAAAATACAATTATTAAGATAAAATATTAATCGTTGATTTTATATATAGGGAAATGAAATGCGCAAAATGTATAAATTTGATACAGTCAATTTGCCAAATAGATATCAACAATTTAATAGCAAATAACAGAGTTTTATTTTATCTATTTTTTTTCATCCATTATACATAATTAAATTAAGTTCCACTAAAAAAAGAATAATTCTAATTAGTTTTTTATTGTCAAAGAAATTAACCAAGTTGCTACTAAAAAAAACAGAATAATTTCTTTAATTAGAAAAAAAATCAACCAAGTTTCCACTAAAAAAGTTGGATATAAGTGAGGTAAAGTTTATATCAAAAACAATACAGGGAAATCAGTCACAGCTCCATCAGTGGGATTTAATCAAGGATGGGATGTAAATAATGGGGGATATAAATATTATTAATCCATCCCATGAATTTTTCCTAACAGATAGGCAAAACTCCTCATCACCAGTGTCTAAAATTTGTGCAGAATGCTTGTTCTGAGCATAATAATTTATTTGCACATGGTATAATTTTAAAGTAGGTAATGATTTTAATCCTTCCAAAATTATAAATCCTATATTTTTGGCTGAATTATTCGCAGGTTCTGCTAAGCATAATAATCGCATCGTCCCGTGATTTGTTTTCTGATTTTCTAAATTTGTATACGCCCAATTCATATCCTTTTTTTGGAGGATGTCAACCATCCCTCATTACATAGATAGTATCATGTGATGCGAGCAGTAGATTTACATGCGCAAAAAATCTTTTGGTGTATCCTATACCCCTGACGTGATTTATGTAGCATTTCCGATACTGTGATAAAACTAGTGTACATAACGAACGATGTAAATTGTATTGGCCTTCAAGGGAAGCGGAGCTAATAATGTAACAAAGCATGTTCTGCCTGCTAAACCGTTTAAAATTCCTTAGCCGGCAAATACAGTTAGACCTTCATAAATATTTCAGTAAACAAGTAGCAGTTCCGTTTAGCAATAATTTTTTATTATATGTATTGAAGTCTTCGATTAGAAAGACAAACATAGGCGGTTGAGAAGTTACGTGATGATTATATTATTTTGTAGCTTGTGATAATCTATTATATATGTGTAATAAAAATTGGTGATGGATGAGAAGATATTTGTGTTAAGGATACTATTTGTGTAATTTAGTTGATACTTTATGAAAATAAAATAATTTTTATGGAAATATTTTTCATACGAGATTGTAGGATCATGGGATCGTGTTTGTGATAATTAATTTAGTATGAGGGAGGGTAATAGATCCTCAAATTATATATTAATGATTTTTCTAGTTGTTTCTCTGCAAGGTCCATAACTCCAACAATTATGTCAAAGTCACTTTATGTGATTGGAATTCGATTCTTAGACTGTAGATGTTTGACGTAAAACAAAGCGAGTTTTGTCGGTGATTCATTATTTATCCACGCAAAAAAATTCAAATAGAAACAGGACGACATATCTAATCAATTCTCAAAAAATACTTGGAATGACTATATGTAGATTTTCATAATACCATATTTCAGTAAGAACAATCCAATCCTCATAGCAGAATTCTCAAGTGGTTGATCTTGTACTTCAATAATCACGTGACTGAAATTAAAAAAATACCTCCTTAATTTTTCCATATCATTATTATAAATATATCTTTTCTTAATGTCTTCAAATCAGGGTTCCTCTTCTTCTTCAAGTAAGCAAAATAATAATAATGATAATAAAGGCGAGAGTAGTAAACAAGAACAACAGTTGAAAACACAGAATGGATCGTCAATAACACAACTTGGTGCTTTAGAAGATGACGAATTTGAAGAATTCAATGCTGAAGGTAGTTGATAAATATCATTTATACAACATTCTTAACAATTTGTAAATTAAGTAACATATTTTTTATTTAATAGATTGGAATGAAACAGAAGAAGATCAAGAAACTCATTTATGGGAGGATAATTGGGATGATGAGGATATCGAAGATGATTTTTCCAAACAATTAAAGTTAATATTTGATTATATTAATTTTAAGATTATGTTTATTAAATTATTAATCTTTTGTTGTTTTTTTAAAGAGCTGAAATCACCAAAGCTACTATTATGCCACAGCCAATGAGACATTAATTAAGAACGAAATTATTTCAAGTAAAATGATTTATTAATTATAATAACAATAAACAACAATAAAAAAATTTTTTGAATAAAATAATAATAATTTGTTATTTATTTTCTTGCACTAGATTTGGATACAATGATAACTTAATTGTGCTATTTTAAAGAGAAAACAATAAATCAAAAAAAACTATTTTTACAATACTATCTATTTTTGAGGTTTGCATTTTATTTATTAATCAACTTATATCATGTGTTAAAAGTTATCAGCCTGGTTTTAAAGCTCGTAACAGTTATTGAATATTATTATGAAAAACAAATGTTACTTAATATGCAAAAATGAATTGTGATAATAAATTTTCTGTCTGTGATCTGCAGTGAGTACTTGTTTATTGTCATATAAAGATCCTGATAAAAAAAAGAAAGTTGGTAAACAGTTAAATAAAGTTTTTATCTAGTATATGAAATTAATCCAGAAGCGAATGGCAATGAAGTGTCTAGTTGAAGCTTTTGACTACAATAGATGTTAAATTATGTTAAATTTCAAAATGCTTTACATGATTTTCTTATCAAGTATTGGTCTATTCCTGCTTCTCATGGTTTGCTAACATCGTTGATAGAGAGAGATCTTAGGTTTAAGAATTACGTTTTGCAGAAGGAATAAAAACAATCCAATCTTTAAGAACTCAATATGAGTTGATGGTATCCTATTATAATGGTGATTTTTTTAAAAAAAACACCAAGTACAACTCCTATGTAGACAACCTACAATAAGGTGCCTCGGGTATTGTATGAGCTCCAATGTCGTGAGGCTCTTGTTGCAAATATTAGCGGAAATGATATGTGACCAGGTCAATATTCGCCTTGCAGTTTAATTTGGATGTTTCTAAAAACCACTATTTTGATCGTGTCTTGTGATTAACTCTGGGTGCAAAACCATATGGTGGTTTTTATATAGCCGTTTGCGAATTTTTGATGGATCCAGAGCATGTATCGACAGAACTTAATTTCAAGGGATACATGAGTAGAGCTCGTCAAGATAAATTTATGGCGAGATAACAGTCATATTTTTTTAATTCAGATATTTCACTTAATTTAATATCTTAGCAATATTTTGATTTATAATTTTCAATCATCGTTGTTTCTTCAATACCAGAAGAGGCATCAAGAACCCGTTTACTTTTTATTAACTGCTACTAAACAAAGTTTTTAAAAAGAAGCTACATACTCATTTTTAGAAAAAGACAAAAGCTGAAGATGAAAAAGGTTAATAACTCTTCCATATGCCATCCATCTGGTGAAAGGGGAAATATGGTTTAAACCATAAGTGTTGGTTTGGTTGAATCAACGGCCCAAAAGCTGGTCTTTTAAAGAGTCGTCTCGTTGCCTTGGGCACAGTCTTTTTTACACAGTTTATGAGTTCCCATCCCAGAAATTAAATCTTTTTTACATTTGAGGAAGAAATTAATTGTAAATCAATAATAATATGTTTCAGGAAGCGGACTATTTATATTAATGTGAATTAAATATAGATCAAAAAAATTCAAAAGTAATCTCCATCAAAGATCCATCATCCATCCAACAATCATTTTCACGCGGATTACAAGATAATCATTCTCTCTCTTCATTGTTATATACAAAATTTATAAATCGTAAGAACGTATTAAAATTTAAAGCTTTGTTAGAAAAAACATTTAATTCAAAAACATTACTGTGCCGTTTTATATATTAAGTATTTGTGGATTAATATCAAGATCACAAGAAGCATACTATCGATCAAAGGACAATGCATTTAATAGAGTATTTGCAAAGAACGGATGGTTTTGGACCACAGTAGTATATAGGCAATGAATAAAAATAAAAGACAAGGACAGAAACTAGTTTTTTCTATACTTCGTTATATTGCAGCAGGTATATAACAACGCAAAAAATTTCTTTGGACCAAGTATATTGATGATATATATTCACAATGAGTGGAGACAATTATAGATTTAGCTAGAACACAGAAAGTATGGAAAAACAATTAGCACTAATAGTTCATATCAATGTAAAAGTTGAGGAGAGAGAGAATCTGTCAGAAGAAATATGCGGATCATTCAATAAGAATTTAAAAGATTCTCTTTGGTTTTTTATCAATAAGTTATTTTTCACGGTAAAATATTAAAGAAAGTTCTACTGGAATATTATATTAATTTCTAACTTATTTTTTATTGCTACAAATTACAAAAGCTTTTTTAGCAATTGTGAAAGTGATAAGGAAGGAATTTAGAGAAGAGAAATATTTATTGTTGTACCTTATATCTAGTAATCAAAGTTGTAATTCTGTTTAAAGAAAGAATAAGTGTGCTAATTTATAATTATCACCATTACTTTTATCATTATCACTAGTTAGTCTTTTAAAAAAATTTTCCTGTAAAAAAAAATAGTTTTTATTCTAAAATTTATATTTATATAGTTTTAATATTATATATGGTTAAAATTGTTTAACTTTGATGATTATCTTGGATAAAATTTTCTGGTACTAAAGAAAGAAAATTAATTATTATTCTCTGAATTTTGTAATGAATCATAAAATATGTAAAATTACCATTAAAAAATTGTTGTTTCTGACCATAATCATCTGTTGATTCATCTTTATCTTTTGTAGTTGAAGATCTTTCAATTTTTGTTGTCTTCATCAATCAAAATAATATGTATATATATTAGTGCATAAAATATAATCTCAATAGTTCTATTATAATAATATATATATATTAAAACTAACTTCTCTATATTTTGCTAAATAAATCTTCAAAGCCTCTGCATAATTTTCGAAACCTAGAGATTGCATAGCCCACAAAATATCTTCTCCATTAATTGTCTTTCTTTTTTCTTGTTGACAACGATCACTTGCTGTTTAAAAAGAAATTTTCTAAATTAATGTAAGTCTAATATTCGTAGCTATGTGATTTATGTGTATATACGCACACATGAATATATAAATTTTCATTCCTGAAATATCTTTTTTGATAAATAAAAGGATATTCACTCGTTATGAAGGAAATGAATTCTGAAACACACTCTTGAACACATTCTTTGGCTTCTTTTGCAATCTTTGCATTGTCTGGTAAAGCTTTTTTCATTATACGTGCTACATTTGCTATTGGAAGAAAACGATCTTGTTCTTTAAAATCTTCAATTTCTTCACCCGATAAATGAGTATTTTCAGACATTTTTTTTTACTTTCAAGATGTTATGGTAAAAGCGTAATCAAGATTCTAAATAAAGGAAAAAAAAGAACGACTGCAAAGAACTTTAAAAATACGCGCGATTTTTAAAATTTATTATTATTGAGATTTTTAGTTGATTCTAACAAATTTGTTACGCTAAATCGGACTGTGACGAGAAGAAAACCTTATTGCTGCTGCGCCAGCTAGATTTTCCAGCCACAATCACGTACACAATTTAAATCCCCCCACCTCCTGAAAACTAGGTCATGTGCAAAAATATGTTCCTTAACATCACGATTCCAGAGGGTCTGGCACATATATGTGTCTACATGTCTTGAGCATCTAAAACCGTTGAATTTTATTAAATAACCCTTCACATTTGGAACATATTCTGCTAGTCCTAACTAAATTCATCGATAATTTTTACTTACATCTTCCCCTTAACTCCCGCATAGCTACTTTACTGGACCAGCAAGCATATCCTTTAGGATAATGAAGCGTGGCTGTGATTATAAAACGAAAAAATAAATTGACTTACTAAATCACATAAATTAGTATCATAAAAATAGGCAATATTTATTCAATAGTTTCTCTATTATTGGTAATCCTTCTATATACACATTTTATCCATCACTCTTTGTTTGCCAATATAGTTTGATCATCTTAACCTTTTCCAACGTTTTTCCTTATAAGAGTCAAATAAATTATCCATATGAAAGGTGTTTCAGAAAGATACTACACTTGGAAACCACGAATTGAAGAAACAGAGGTGTTGGTAAACCTGAAATGTAATATCACATATAACATTTAATTAATTATTAATTTAAAAAAAAAAAAAATCAAAAATGACTACCTCTGACAATGGCTTGTATGTATTTATTTTATTCATCCAGACTTCTCTTTTTTCTCTTGCCTTCTTAAACCCAGCCATCTCGTAATATTCTCTTGCATTTACTTTATTGATCTACAGCAACAAATAAATCCCTTCCAAATCTAATTTTCATACTCATCGTCATCATCCCTTCACCGATTTTTTTTGGCCTTTGTATGTGGACAGAAGCACACACACCATCAATTTGTATATAATATGTAAATGTTCTATTTCTAGTATGTTTATGTTTCTTTGTTGGAATGAATGTGGTATGAGAATTTTTTGATATGTTAAATAAAGAGGGAGATATTCCCCCCTACTTCTTCGTTTCCTAGTGACAAGGTTCTCAAGGGATTTCTTGCTTTTTGCAATATATAAATAAATCTAGCAGAAGCAATGTCAAAAAGTGAAAGATCTTTGATATTAAAAAAGAATGATGGAAGTGAAAACCCTGAACCGCTGTAAAGGATTCTATAAAAGTGGTTTGCTGACGTTGCAAGATTTTTCTTTGAAAATGGTATTCAAGTCAATTCCATTTGTTGATTCTGCTTTTAATATTTGTTGTGACATGATTGTTGCAATTTGTCAGCTGTTGATGTGATAGGTTGAGCAAGTATTGGATTTAATGACAGAATTATTTATTAGAAATTTATTCATGAAAATAACTAAATAGATGAATGATACATGGATAATAAGGATACCGGTTGCAACGTTTTGATGATGCCTTTGCGACCACTTTGTTTCCTTTTTTGGATTGCGGGAACATTAATGGATAACAAACCTTGAATCTATCCATTCATTCCTTTCCGCTGAACGACAAGGAATACACAGAAAGTCACGGCAAAAATTTTTAAATCAGCAGTAACACATGGTATATTTAATTGCCTTTTGTTTATGGCTGTGATAGCATTAAAAACACAACGAAAAAATGTTTGGTTGAGAGCAGGATAGGAATGGACTGGTTTGTGTTTATAAGATAAAGGGTTACTAGATTTGCAAGTAGAGCACTCGTAAGTTGTTTTTGTGAATATGTAAAACATTTTCATTAATAGGCTTAAGTAGGCCTACTTTACTGTAGATGGTGTATATTTAATATCAGGTGATCTATTTTGAAGTTTTAATAAATTTTTTTTTTATTTTTTTTGAATATGATGGGTTTTCAGTGCCAGGGTTAGGACATAATAACGTTATAATCTTCATCTATATTGCAACTTCCTTGTTCACTTTTTTGAAAAAGGATGGTCGTTTTGTCAATCATGTATTCAAAGCTCCCTTTCCACCAAATTAAATCAACTTATGTCCATGCTAATGAATTATCAAATATTTCAGCGTGTGCTTTAAATTGACGTTAAATCTTTACCAAGTAATAGTGTAATAAAATTTGATAATGACATCATACCATTTTTAGATACTTTATGGTTGGAAATCCCAACATTATATAATTATAATAGTTCTTTCAAAATTTATTGTAAAAGCAAAAATAATTATTTATAATAATAATTTACTCCAATTTTTAAGACGTTTAAGAAAATATAATTCCATTTTTTTAATGGCCGTGGTTCTACTTGGAGAGTTCCTTTCAATATAATGAATATTCATTAGGAAGCTTTGGTTATCTTTCCCAAAAAGGTAATAAAATTTACTTTTTAGGTAAGATAATCACGTTTCAATAAGCAGCACATAACTCCATTTTGTTACACGGTTCAATTTTTAATCGGTTGATATCTTTGAAAAGTTGTTTTCGTTTATATTATTTCATATTTTAGAAGTTTATCGTTCTACATTGTATAATAATTATATAAATAAATAGAATCTAGTTATTTTTTTCCTATTAATTATTTACGAAAATAACAACTTGATACATAAATCATACATACATCATTTATGAATAATAAAGAGAAAACTGGAAATTACAGAGTAATATGCGCCAAATATTCAGATGGTGATTCGTCTAAATGGCCTGTTACTCACTTAAAACAAGCATTTGATAAGGACCATGTAAAATTTTTTTATGAATTGGACAAAAACAGTCTTTTATTTAACAGTTGGATGGAAAGACTAGGTCAAGAAGTAACTGAAATAACAAAATCAAAAGGTATGTAAAAATACATATCAATCGGTTATAATAAAATTTTTATTTGAAATGAGTTAATTTATAGAATCGATATTTCATATTTAGAAAAATTAGTATTGGAAGATATGCCTGATGGATATAAAATATTTGTTCAAGGAAAATTTCCAAATAATTCAATACCAGAACCATTACCTATGAACTCTCATCAATCGCAAAATAAAGGAATTGGAAGTACAAGAACCGATGTATTTGTTTTTGGTACAGTTTTTTTTGTTTGACTATACTACCATTATTATTATTATTATTATTATATTATTATTATTATCATTATTAACCATATATACAATACATGCGTGTGTGTATTAGGTAATCCTAGAGGTTTAAAATATCGTTCAAAATGTGAGTTCGTTCCTCACTTTTTATGGCTTTATTTTGGTAAAAAAGGTAGTTGTAAATGTCGGAAATGTGAAATAGTGTTCACTAGAAAGATAAATCCAACTTCAAATGGATCTTATCATCATCAACAGAAATCAGTCATCAATAATGTTGATCATGATATTGACAAAAAAACATTAACTAATTTTAACGGTTCTGAATATCGAAGTGGTGAACTAGTTTGGATTTCTGTTACAAGCTCAAGTATACCTATTAAATTGTTAAAAACAAATGAAAATTGCAAAAATAATGAAAACTTGAGTGAAATTTATTGGCCAGGAACAATAATTGAAGTTGTTACTACTACCGATGAGAATAAAATAAACAGCCATGTTGCTGATTCATCAAGCGTTTCAACAGATCAAGCTATTCTATATAAGATAAAACTTCTGACATTTAATGAAACTTATGAACGTCCACCATCTACTATATCGCCATGGCTTTCAAAAGATCTCGATGATTTGATCAAAGAATACTCGAATGAAATTTATTTCACTAAATTCTTGGACGCAGTAAAAATCGCAAAAAATATTCAGGGATCTTTTGTAACAGGAATAATTTATGATTACATAATTAATAGTAACAATCTTGATTTAATTAAAGATCCAATTCAAAAAAAAAGAATTGTTGACTCAAAAGGCTATCCTCACTATAGTGAAATATGGTTCGGTGCAGAACAAATCAAAGTTTATGATTTTGTGAGATTAACCTCAAATAATGAGTCAGATGAAAAAGAATATTTTAGAATAACATCAATCTACAGGTTGCCGAATAATATAGTTCAATTTGCTGGCGACTTATACGTATTAAAAAAACCAGGCGATGATAGTAATAGTAATAATGGTGAAATATTCAGAACATTGACGATTAAAGATTGTAATTACATATCAAAAAATTATATTTATGAAGAGTACACAATTGATTTAGAAGATGTTGCAGGACGGTTTTATTTAAATAGAAATTCTATCACTAAATCAATGAATGCTACACAAGAAAGGTCTTCGAGAGAAGAATTATTTAGTGAAATTGCAACGAATATTGAAGGCGAAAACACTGCCAGTCAACTATCATCATCATCAAATATCAATATACCAACTATATCATCGTCGTCATCATCATCATCACCGTCATCATCAATTAGTCAAAATCACAATAATAGAAAATTTACTGGAGGAGACGAGATTTTTGAAGATGAAGAAGAAGAAGATGATGATGAAGATAGTGACGATAATGGTGATGATGTTGATGATGTTGATGAGGAGGAAGAGGAGGAAGAAGAAGATGTTGATGATGATGATGACGATGAAGGTGAAGGTGAAGGCGAAGATGAAGGCGAAGATGTTGATTATAATATTAGTGAACTTGATAAATCGGAATTGAATTTAGGGAAATCAATAATTTCATTGGGTGATTTTCAAATATATGAGTCAAAGGGTTTTGAGGTCATCTTTCCATCATTTATTTCTCATGATTGATTGGTTATTGAAATTAAAAAAAATTTTCTTATTATTTTTCTCATTTCCCAATAATGATGTAATTGCGCTATTTATAGAATTTTGCTTCCTGGTCACCAAAATGTACATTTATTTCTTGAGCTAGGAATGCAAATAACCTCTCAACCTGATAATAATAAAATTTTTTTTGATTGTATCTGGCCATTTATTTTATTTTTATATGATGCGAATGTTTAAACTTTGATCCATTCACCATAATCTTTAATTTTGCTAATTATTAATAAAAAGTTCCCAGGCATCATCTTTTTATTGACAAGTTATTCAATTTCTCTCAGTTTATCATAAATGCCAATGAAACCATTAAAATAAACAACCTGATCAAAATGTTGAGCCAAATGAATCAATGCCTTCTAAATGTTCCAACCAAAGAAAAATATTAGCTTCAATGTTTAAAGTATTCTATAGAAGAGTCTACAGCACAAGTCAAAAAATCAGAAGAAATCACCAGTAAATAACAGTCACCCGTGATGTCACACGATCAATATAGTGACTGCAATAACTATGTAAAATTTATGTGTAACATTTCGATTTTTACTATTAAAAATTCAACATAAAAAATTTCCTTCACAAGTGTAACTACTGTTTCTTTTTTAGTAAGAGTCACGATCTTTTGCGCAGACATTCTTTGAGACATTATTTATTTCCCTGCAAAATTTGAACCATTGCTTTATAAGAGAATGGAAAAGGATGGTCGTTTGAAAGTTTCTGCTTCGGGTTTTAATGATTGACAATATTACTAAACAACGCAATATAACATACAATAATGCTGTTGGTTTAAGAATTAAAGCAGCGAAATTATTCTTATGGCGGGATTCTTTATTCATAATAATAAATAA